ATTCACTTCACTCATACTGACAAACATTGGCGCACCACCCACAGCCTATCACGAATGCATCAAAGTTACGCACTTTCATACACGAAAGCATTAAAAGACTAAAACGAAACGCCCACATATGCATTAGCACGCACTTACCGAGAGGCAACGTCTCAAATTCAAGCTCGGCGCTGTGGCTGCTGGGATGGCCTTCTGCTGTCAGGGTGTGAACACGGAACACATACTTTGTTCCTGGTAAGAGGTCATTAATCTGCACAGAGTTCTTCTCCAGAACCAGAACGGTGTAGGTGGTGACATCCAACTCTCCGGGATCCTCCTATGAAACAATGAGGAGAGGAATTTGAATGTTTATTCCAAAATGCTAAAGGAAGAAAACATGGGAAGGCCATAGAGAGAGAAGGAGAAAGCATACAAGATAAAGTCAATTATATTTTCACATTTGCTGAAGAAATGACTAACTTAAGGTTCCACAATGCCATGGCATTGCTATGCTGTTGCTGAGGTGTTCTGTATTACCAGGGCATTGTTAAGTGGTTGCCAAGGTGTTCTGGGTGGTTGTTAGGGTGCTCTAGGTGGTTACTCAGGTGTTGCTACAGTAAGTGTTTGCTAGGATGTTGTAGGTGATTGCTAGGGTAATGCTCTGTAGATGCTATGGGGTGTTCTGAACTTCTGAGTGGTTACTAGGGGATTGCCATGTGGTTGCTAGGGCACTGCCAAGTGGATGTTGTCTAGGATGCTGTAGGTAGTTGCTAGGGTATTGCTAAATGGTGCATGAATGTTCTAGGTGGTTTCTAGGGCATTGCTAAGTGGTTGCTATGGTGTTCTAGATGTTAGATTGTTAGGATATTGCAAAGTGGTTGCTAGGGTGTTCTAGGTTGTTTCTAGGGCATTGCCAGGTGGTTGCTAGGATATTTTAGGTAGTTGCCTAAATGGTGCTAAGATGTTCTAGGTGGCTTCCAGGGCATTGCTAAGTGGTTGCTACAGTGTTCTGAGTGGTTGCTATGGTATTGCGAAGTGGTTGATAGTGTGTTCTAGATCAGTGTTTCCCAACCGGGGCGCCGTCTGTCGAGAGCAGGGGTGCCGTGTAAAAAATCATTTTTTAATATTTTAAAATTCCTAAAATGTTCAAAAAAGCATCTATTATATAATATCCATTTCTGATGTCGCCAATAATTATAGATGCACTGAAATTTTCGGCTGCCGAAAATTTGTTCACCGCTCAGGTTTCACTTTCACGTGGTGTGACGCTCTGCGTATTATCCCGCTCTATGCGTGTGCGCTCCGCTCAGTCGCTCCACTCGTATACCGTTCATGCGAATCGGAACAGCAAAGTCCACTCAAAAATTTAGCCGAGAGGAAACATCGATGTAGTACAGTATTGTTTCTGTCTGCAATAGCCCTACTGTGTTGTAACATGGTTTGGTCTATGGGCAACTCTGGTAACGTTGCCCTCTCATCCATTGATCTGCTAACCGCTATGTTATGCTCGCGTGTTCTGATAATAATAGCTTTCTAGGACTAAACATTATTTGGATAACTGGCAAAAAAAAAAAAAATTTTTTTTTAAGTTAAATATCTTAACCCTAATGTTACACCTAGCTGAAAAACTAAAAAGCAATTTATTTAATTTGAAGGCCTGTCGTAATTTTTATTTGTGCTATCATTATTAATTTCTTTATTTGTTCTTATTTTATTACTGACTGCTTGTCATTTTTTATTCAATTCAAAGTTTGAAATCAAGCTATCTCGTGCTACTGCACCAACATTACCCCACTGTAAATTTAAAAAAACACTGAGTGAGCAAACATTTGTGAGAATAGCTAGTTATAATGGTAATTAAATAATGTTTACATATGTATAAAAGCCTACATTAAAATCTGTCATATAAATTGGTCTCTTCATTAGAAATTAGCCTACTGATTGCCACACAATTCATCAGTATTTTCGCTAACCATCAATGTCTCAATTTACATTTAATGCCATTTGATACACTGTGTCTTAAACCGGCATGACATGTGATCAGTTCTCCTCCATGTTAATCTGTTAATCTTATCGAGCTGTGACAGGCAATGATGTGCACTGGGTAGCTCCGCCCACATAGAAACCTCATTGGTTCAAAATTCAGCTTCATGTGGCAAAACATTAAATGCAAATGGATGTGATTTTTGCCACATTTTCACCTTCACTGAGGACAGAACTATTGCTTGTCGCTCAATAGCTTGATATTTGTGCAATTTAAACTTAAATTCTTAAATATCTAACCTGTGAAGTGAAGCGCTGTTGTAATGCTTGCCGTGGCTCTCTTTCGACTGAACTGGGACACGCCACTTTGGGCCTCGACTGTAAATGTGTAGTTCACATGAGGCTCCAGCTCGCTAACCACGACCTCGGGGTCTTTCAAGGCCGTCTGCGCAGGCTCAAATCGCACCCTCCCACCACACAGTGAACACAGACCACCCTCACAGCGCTCGCAAGCCACACTGTATGTGATGTCGCTTCTGCCGCCAGTGTCTGCCGGGGGGCGCCAGCTCAGTTGCAAACTCCCCGCAGTCAGGAGGGGCATGTATACCAGGTTTTGGGGTGGGCTAGGCAGAGCTAGAAAAGCAAAACATGGTATGTTTAGAAACTAGATTAAAATGCAGAGAATAAAAAAGATTGTTTCTTAAGATCAAACAATATTGTAGAGGAGTAAAAAAAACACATATTCACACTTACAAGAGCAAGGAGCAGAGTCAGGGTCCGTAGGGGCCCGGAAGAAGCCCTCCATGCAGGGGCACAGCAGTGCTCCACGACCTGAGCGCTTGGTGTTCTCTGGACACACTTCACATGGCTGGCTGGAATCTGTGCTCTTGTAGTAACCTGGTTCACAAGCTTTAAAAAAAAGACAGGAAAAAAAAAACAGATGAACATGAGGCATTTATTAACTAAAACGACAGATTCACATTTAATATATAACCACATCACACATTTCTTTATTTTTGGCCATTGTGCACATAAAGGGAAGGTCAATATTTTGGCACAATCACAACTGCACACAGAAAGAGCCAATCAAGATGGTGCAACCAACAGGCAACGTACAACAGTCATTCAAACATTCAACAAACTGATCACACTTCACAATGCAACCGGAAGATACTTTTAAATAAAACCAGTTAAACTGGTCACCAACTTTTGTATAGACCTTTCATGACTAATTATGTCTGCACTGTCAATTTTAGTGCCAAAATACTGAAAGAAAGAGATTTGAAAAAAATGCAATGAAGCGCATGTGGATGTCCGTTGGACAATTGGACAAAACGGAACTGCAAGCGTCAATATAAGCCCTCTGGTCTCCTCTTCTCCTCCTTTCCTTCCTCTGCCGAATGATCGAATGATGCTATAACAAACACAAAGGGAAGAAACTCCGAAAACAAGGAATGGAGGCCAGGGGTGGGGGGTGATAACAATTATTAAAGGCGTCCGAGAGCAATGATTCAGAATCACATGCACGCTCTTAAGAAGAGGCCGGTTCTGATAGGTGTACTTTTAATGGGCATGAGAAACTCACTGGCTTGCAAAATCACTGTGAATATAGATTCCACAGAGCTGAGAAACTTCCTTTGAGGGGAGTTTGTCCCCCCTGGGGCCCATCTCTCAGTGCTCACCTCAAACAAAGGGCTGAGTTTCAGATTGACGACCGATGGGAGGTGTGCGAGTGTGAGTGTGAATGGGTGAGTGAGGATTGCAGACAGAAGTTCTCCCGCTGGGATTTTACATTGGGTTTTGTGTATTTGCTCTGTGTATAAGGGTGGACGTCTATAGGAGGGGGTCCGCATAAGAAAGGCAGCCCTTTTTTGTGCATTTTATTTGAAGTCAGAACAAGAGTGGGAAACTCCCACTCTATTCCTCTAATCTTCATGTTTGTGTCTACTGAGAGTGGCATACATGAAATTGGTCTGAATGAATCCAAATTTCACCAAACGCCAAGATGCTTGTCAGCCATGAGTAATAAGTCTGATTCAATATGTTAATGCTGTTTCCATGGGAACTTTGTGTGAAATATGTTTAGAAAG